TGGCCACGGTTCGCTGTCCCGGGCCAATGGGAGCGGCGGGAAGCGGCGCGGGTGAGGGATGTGCTGGCCGCGGCTTCCACCGCCCCCATTGGCCCGGGATGGCGAACCGAGGCCAGTGGGGGCCGCGATCGGCCGAACCTGCCACGTCAGCAGGTAAATAAATTGGCCCGGCCCCCCAGGGTGCTTACCCTGGCGAGCCGCGTGCCAAACGTTGCCGACCCCTGGTTTAGACTATTGAACTTTGTTAGCTTTGTCAAATATACTTGACACAGCAGCGTATGTCACCACTGTAACCACTTGTGTTTGCCTTAAAAGAGTCTGTTTGGGATGGTAGCAATAGACAGCAGGGACCACTATAGTTAGAGGAAATCATGGAAATAATTTTGGAAATAATTTTCTCACATATTACTTTCTAAACTATTCAACTATCAGGCTAAAATTTTTCATGCTTTAGTCTTTGCTTCAAGATGATTTGTGTGTGTGGAAGACTGAGCAAAATCCTAATAATAGTATAAATATATAGGAAAAAAATGGAAATAAGATGTGTGACCATCTTTATCTTAATCACTTTGCTTATATGTTCTATCCCTTTCCCCCAACCTTTGTCTATTTTTGTATGTTTGTTTTTTATCTTTTTAAAATGTGTTCTTTGGGCCAGGAACTGTGTTTTTACAGCACCAATCACAATGGGACTTGTATTCTGACTGAGGCTTTAGCACACAATAATTTAGCATTAGTAAAGGCTCTGGTCCTGTAATGTTGTCCGTGCATATGGACCCTGGCATCCATGTGGATTCCCAGTTGTCAAGAGTCCACCTGCATGGATCTCTTAAGGATCAGGGCACCAGTTTGGAGAAAATTGTTTCAATAGTTTTGCAGTTATGAAAGGTTAAATTCAGCAGGCTAAAAGGTTTAGACTGATTCAAAGTTAATGTAGTATAGGGCATTGGTCTGTCTTAATATCTGAGTCATCTCAGGGTATGGCTACACTACAGGTACTACCTTGGCACAGCTACAGTCCCATAGGTAGATTCTTCCTAAGGCAATAGAATGGCTTTTTCTGTCAATAAAGGTAATTCATCTCCCTAAGTTGCAGTAACTAAGTCAGTGAAATAATTATTCCATTGACCTAGCCACGTCTATCCTGGAGGCTAAGTTGGCTTAACTGTGACACTCAAGCATGTGAATTTTTCACACCCCCTGAGCGACACTGCTAGTTCAATTTAAATTTTAAGTGTAGAGCAGGCCTCAAACTCGGGATCATTACAATATCAGTGTTTTAAGGCATAAGTAAAAAGGAGCAGAAGTAAAGTTGAGATTTCAACTTGATCATTTCATGTCTGCACACCTGAGTGCTTGATTTCTCTGCCTTAATATTATGTTAATGCTATTTGTTGGTTGGTTTTTTTCATAGAATGTATTTAACTTGTTAATAATGCAAGGTCTGTATTCAATTTTGACCTACATTGTTTTAAAAAATAAGTCCCACTCTGCAGTTCGTTTTCCTGTGTTGTGTCATGGATTTTGAAATAGTGCTGCTGATAATCCCAATGGAGTAAACATGAATGAACTTTTAAAACAAAAAGGACATTTAAAAATAAACTGCTATTTAATGTTTCTGATGCACAATGAGTAATATAATTTATACTTTTAACAGTACAGCCTCAGATAATACATCTTAAAAATGAAACCACATTTGAAAACGGTCAAACAACACTGATATGTGAGGCAGAAGGAGAACCTGTACCAGAAATTACTTGGAAAAGAGCCATCGATGGAATAACTTTTTCTGAAGGTGACAAGGTAAAGCAGCATTTCATGTATGTTTCTACAGGATTAGAGATAAGTCTAAATATGTATTGTCATTTTTGTTGTTGGTTTTTTAATAGAAAACTAATGTAGAAAACAATTAATAGGCTTATATTAGAACTGGAGGATGCTTTGTTTACGAGGTCATAGCACTGTGGTATAAAAATCCTAAAAATTTAAATGAAAATATGAAACAAAATATGCTGTCAAATTATTAAAAGTCCAGCTGTCAAAAATTAGAGCTAAACTTTTAAAGGTGTCCTCTTATTTTGGGTTCTTTAATTTCTTGGTGCCCATCTTGAGACATGTGGAACCCAATTTTTAGAGGTGCGGCTCTCCCACAGCTCCCATTCACTTTAGCTGGAGCTTTAGGTGCTCAGCACTTCTGAAAATCAATCTGTAGGTGTCCAAAGTTGGGGACCCAAAAATTGAGGCAGCCAAAATGAAGAACATTTTCGAAAACTTCGTCCTAAACCTTTTGCACCTTCTCTTTACTCCTCTTATCTATTCTTCTCTCCTCATTTTTTTCTTTTGCTCCCAACTTTCCTTCTTACAGCTCAGAGAGACTCTTCTGAGTTCCCACTATAACTGCAATACATTTGTTTCTACAATGTTTTCTTTCATAACTGAATGGGATGGGAAAGGATAAGATTCTTCCAATATAAACAAAAACATAAATAGATGAGTTATTGTGGGAACAAAGAACTGTGCAGGAGGGGAGTGGTGAAGGGCAGACAGGTATTAGAAAAAAGGCATAATTTTACCCCTAATCAAGTCAACAGCAAGACTCCAGCTGATTGCAATAGGAGCAGGAGCAGGGCCACAGGAGGGGACTGAGTCAAATATTTAAAAATTTCCCTTTCAGTGGTTTCACAATGCTATTTGCTTGCTGGTATTTTTTTTTTTCATGTACATTTTGGAGTTTCTCTGCTTCATTTGAAGGGAGTGAGATGGCATCTTGATTGGTGGCAAAAATGAGAATATTGAGTACAGGAAGCAGAGCAGATGGATTGTAGTAGCCACTCAGGTTAGAGATATTTCCGTATCCATAGTACCATTACTGAAAAATAACTGTACAGTGATTCTGCCAGTCAGATTCTCCCAGAGCCAAACAGAGTACAGGAAATTAGTGAATGGAAGAAAAATGCACATTTTTGCCTCCTCAAGGGTCTGATCTAAAGTGAAAAGAAAATAATGGAATTACCTTCATTGACTTCAAGTGGGCTTTGCTTGAGGCCCTTCCTTTACTCCCTGCACTCTGATTGGATGAGATATTCCCATTTCAATAAAACCATATAGGTGAATATTTGCAATTTTACATCATAATCTTTGCAAGAAATATAAATTAAAACAGAAGCAAAAGACCAACTGAAATATTTTGGGTTAAATTTTGCCAATGGTAGCATCCTTCTATTGCACGTACAAAGGGCAACATTTCTGGTGTTGGAATGTACCTTAGGATAGCTTTGCCATATCAAGCAGTGAACTCAAATAAATTCCATTAATAGCTTGATAACTTTTTGTGCAATCTGGCCCTAAGTATTCCCCTATATTTCATACAGTATTATGCTTTCCATACATTGTGTGGAAGGTTAAAACTCTGTGTGTCAGTATTGATCCATGTTGCACCTCTTTCTTTTTAGATTGTGCATCAACCTAAAAGGGTAGTGATGAACAAACTCAGTTCAGCTACCTTTTGTATGCTTGACACACTGCATATAAAAGGTCAAAAGAAATGGGATTCAAGAGGGTTGTACAATTGCCTTTTGCTTTTACCATTGAATGTCCCTCTTACTTCATTCATTGCTCATCTGGACAGTATTTGATGGGGCAGAGATTAAGTCACCGGCTTGGAAACTTGGCTATTCAGTTTAGAGTTTACTTATACCTTCCCCAACTCACTTGTATTTGAACCTTATTACAGTGGCATGGTGGAAATTTCATAATCAATGGTGTGTCCTCTCTGTATCTGTTTACATTTACATTTACATTTAGATTGTATCCTGAAAAAGGAGTTTATTTTTTAAAAAGAGCTTTTATAGATACGTTACTTGTAACACCCAAATGAAACATTATGATCAACAATTCTGACCTGCATAGCATAGACTATAAAATGTCTCCAATAATTCTTGCATTGAGCCCAATAATTTATTGTTCAGCTTTGTGGGTAGTATTTATTTAGTCTGTTCAGGGAGCTACCTGCACTGTAAGTGAGGTGAGCCTACCCTGTCACTGATCTTTATTGGCTAAAAACTAATATTGGAATACATTGCAACAATGCATATTATGACTTTACTTCAAAAGTTCTAATTCCTTTGAAAAATATTAGCACATATAAATAAATTGAGGACACTTATGTGATTGTCACTAGTTTTAAATTTAGCACATTTTTTGGCCTAGACTGCTGTGGTATAATCACTAGCTTAGCTTTAAGCACAACAGCTCCACATTCACAAACTGTGGGCACAAGTATGTATCCCAATTAGATTTCTCTCTCATTGAAAGACTCTAGCTAAATTGTCTCAATTGTCTCGTATTGCTAGCAAGTAGGACATTGTGGCTGTTAGCTTTATTTATTTAAAGTTAGCTATTTCCTTCCTTTGGAAATGATAGGAGTATTATATCACTAGCCAGTTTAGACTGTACTAGAAAAGAAATACATTTAGCTACATATTAAAGTCTCTCAATAGACCAGGGGTCGGCAACGTTTGGCACGCGGCTCGCCAGGGTAAACACCCTGGCGGCCCGGGCCAGTTTATTTACCTGCTGATGCGGCAGGTTCGGCCGATCGCGGCCCCCACTGGCCGCGGTTCGCCGTCCCGGGCCAATGGGGGCAGCGGGAAGCCGCGGCCAGCACATCCCACGGCCCGTGCCGCTTCCCACCGCCCCCATTGCCTCCTCTATTTGAGGTCAAGACACTGACCTGTTTTCATGATTTGCCCTCAGAGGATAGAAATTTCATGCTCTAATAAGAATATAACATTGGGGATCTATTATCGACCACCTGACCAGGACGGTGATAGTGATGATGAAATACTAAGGGAAATTAGAGAGGCTATCAAAATTAAGAACTCAATAATAGTGGGGGATTTCAAGTATCCCCATATTGACTGGGAACATGTCACCTCAGGACGAAATGCAGAGATAAAATTTCTCGATACTTTAAATGACTGCTTCATGGAGCAGCTGGTACGGGAACCCACAAGGGGAGAGGCAACTCTAGATTTAGTCCTGAGGGGAGCGCAGGAGCTGGTCCAAGAGGTAACTATAGCAGGACCGCTTGGAAATAGTGACCATAATACAATAGCATTCAACATCCCTGTGGTGGGAAGAACATCTCAACTGCCCAACACTGTGGCATTTAATTTCAAAAGGGGGAACTATGCAAAAATGAGGGGGTTAGTTAAACAGAAGTTAAAAGGTACAGTGACTAAAGTGAAATCCCTGCAAGCTGCATGGGCGCTTTTTAAAGACACCATAATACAGGCCCAACTTCAATGTATACCCCAAATTAAGAAACACAGTAAAAGAACTAAAAAAGAGCCACCATGGCTTAACAGCCATGTAAAAGAAGCAGTGAGAGATAAAAAGACTTCCTTTAAAAAGTGGAAGTCAAATCCTAGTGAGGCAAATAGAAAGGAACATAAACACTGCCAAATTAAGTGCAAGAATGTAATAAGAAAAGCCAAAGAGGAGTTTGAAGAACGGCTAGCCAAAAACTCCAAAGGTAATAACAAAATGGTTTTTAAGTACATCAGAAGCAGGATGCCTGCTAAACAACCAGTGGGGCCCCTTGATGATCGAGATACAAAAGGAGCGCTTAAAGACGATAAAGTCATTGCAGAGAAACTAAATGGATTCTTTGCTTCAGTCTTCACGGCTGAGGATGTTAGGGAGATTCCCAAACCTGAGCTGGCTTTTCTGGGTGACAAATCTGAGGAACTGTCATGGATTGAAGTGTCACGAGAGGATGTTTTGGAATTAATTGATAAACTTAACATTAACAAGTCACCGGGACCAGATGGCATTCACCCAAGAGTTCTGAAAGAACTCAAATGTGAAGTTGCGGAACTGTTAACTAAGGTTTGTAACCTGTCCTTTAAATCAGCTTCTGTACCCAATGACTGGAATTTAGCTAATGTAACGCCAATATTTAAAATGGGCTGTAGAGGTGATCCCAGCAATTACAGACCGGTAAGTCTAACGTCTGTACCAGGCAAATTAGTCGAAACAATAGTTAAGAATAAAATTGTCCGACACATAGAAAAACATAAACTGTTGAGCAATAGTCAACGTGGTTTCTGTAAAGCGAAATCGTGTCTTACTAATCTATTAGAATTCTTTGAAGGGGTCAACAAACATGTGGACAAGGGGGATCCAGTGGACATAGTGTACTTAGATTTCCAGAAAGCCTTTGACAAGGTCCCTCACCAAAGGCTCTTATCTAAATTAAGCTGCCATGGGATAAAAGGGAAGGTCCTTTCATGGATTGAGAACTGGTTAAAAGACAGGGAACAATGGGTAGGAATTAATGGTAAATTCTCAGAATGGAGAGGGGTAACTAGTGGTATTCCCCAAGGGTCAGTCCTCGGACCGATCCTATTCAACTTATTCATAAATTATCTGGAGAAAGGGGTAAACAGTGAGGTGGCAAAGTTTGCAGATGATACTAAACTGCTAAAGATAGTTAAGACCAAAGCAGACTGTGAAGAACTTCAAAAAGATCTCACAAAACTAAGTGATTCGGCAACAAAATGGCAAATGAAATTTAATGTGGATAAATGTAAAGTAATGCACATTGGAAAAAATAACCCCAACTATACATACAATATGATGGGGGCTAATTTAGCTACAACAAGTCAGGGAAAAGATCTTGGAGTCATCGTGGATAGTTCTCTGAAAATGTCCACGCAGTGTGCAGAGGCGGTCAAAAAAGCAAACAGGATGTTAGGAATCATTAAAAAGGGGATAGAGAATAAGACTGAGAATATATT